GCGCGGTGTCGCGATCTAGTGCTGGTTGCAACGCCACCATGTGCAGCCTGTTTCTTCGGATTGCTTGTGGGCGCATTTTTTCCCAACAAACCCGATGTGTAAATGCTAACAACGCCAGCCAACTGTTTCAACCATTGAGAAACATGCCATTAACCACTAACGTGGGGGACTGAGTCGGGTGGGTCATGGACCACCTACTTTTTAAACATTTTGCATCAGCTCAATGCGATGTATGGCAAGAACAAGACTCTAAGTGGGTTAAGGCTAGCCCACTTTTTGGAATGTCCTACGCTCATGAATATCTGACCCTGGTATAATGGAGTCCAACCGGGCTGACAGAGCTTAATGGCATGCTCAGTCCGTGGCCACCGGCGGCCGAAGTTATGGTCCACTTCCTGCTGAAGGTGATGCCTTCCCTGCTGCTACAGCAGACTGCTCCCTGACGGGAACTGAACCCATGCCGCCTTCCCCGCGTGCGTTTCTCTGCTCCGCCCATCCCGGCCTATTCGTTCAGTGACGTCATTGGAGATTTTCCCGTGACGTCAGCCATGTGCTGCGGTGGTGACGGCAGTTGACAGAAGCTGGTTCCTCAGGCATCGGAATCCTCATCCTGGGCATCTGCTTCTGCTGCATCAGACGATGCTTCCGAAAGCGCAGAAGCAAAGATGCCAAAGGCAAAGGTGGCAAGGGCGTGGACATGAAGTCGGTGCAGCTCTTGGGAAGTGCCTACAAAGAGAAGGTAACAATCATACTGTCTTGAACTCAATGTTGGACGTGACCTGATCGTGTCATGGACTGTGCCGCTGGTGGTATGCCGGCATTCATTTGATCACCCGGAGACGCGCCTGTTTCTGAAAGCTGTCACACGTGCCTTTTTTGCGATAAGATGGCAGTGTTTTGGTGAGGTTGGGCACAGTAATTTGCGCGATTTGGAAACGAAAATGTTAATTCGTAGACATAAACCCCGCCAGCTTTTTCGAGGTTCTCCCGTCCGCATCAAACGGCGAGCACGAGCATATTCTCTTCAAGCGACCTGTCCTCATAAACGGCACGAGACATGAACCAATCCTATCCCTGCACACTAAGTCAACGCTATTGAATCACTACACCTATAGCCTGTATTCCAATACAACGACGCTGCTGAGGACAGTGGACTTGTTGGGTAGCCCGCTCCCATCGCTGGCGCGGGTCGTTGCTCATATTTGTCGCGCCGCAGACGTAGAGGCCCCCTATTCGAATCCCATCTCCGCTCCACGCCACGGTGTGTCACAATGAAAACATAATCCAGCTAACCAGGTCTTGGTGCCGTCGGTTTGCATTTAACGATAGGCGTGTTACCTCATCGAGTTAATGTAATGCCCTAATTCCTGTTTGTGATGTTTGGTCACTCAGAAAGAAGGAGAAGGCGGAGAGGTAATGTTATTGCCGATTCTTTTCTGATCGATATGCCTGTGCACAATCCGAGTTTTCCATATGCACCGTGTGTCCTGAAAGATTTGACCAGCCTTACAACATTAAATTGCCTTGCCAGGGAGGAGCAACGTCCTTGCCTTCCCTTTTGCGCATGCGTTTGTGTAGCAAAACGATCTGGGATGGAACAGTCTTAGTGGGTGCGCTCATTCTATGCGTTGCAAAAATGTATAGCTTAGCGGAAGACACACTCCGCCTGGCAACGCGACAGTACAGATGGGCCATGAACAGGTCTATACTTATTTCCATGTTCAATCCCACGCTGACGTGTGATGATGTGTGTGCCTGCAATGCCATTCAGCGTACTTGCGGGCGCCCCCAATAACTTGACATGAGTATGTATGTCAAGGAGCGCGGTGCAAAATAACATAACACGCGCTCGGGTGAAGGTCCATTTCACCCACGAAAGGCTTTTCCAGGCTAAGTTCAGAACGGTTGCGACGTAGCCTTGCCAAGGGTTGCCATAGCTGTACGCAATTTAATGGCAGATGTTTTTATATAAAAAGTTTCGATTTACCTTGTAAGGTCCGCTGACCTATGCAGGTCAAGATCAGGTCGCGGTTGTCAGCTAAGACAATTTCTAGTGAATTGTTCAATCTATGATGCAACAATGGAGTGTTATACAAAGCCACATATCTCTTATATAGTTTCTTAGCCAATAAACAAGTGAATTTAATTCATGATAAACGGACTTAAATTGCCCAGGGTCAGCTAGTCTCTGGTGCCCATTTCAAACTGATTAATGAGGAACCGCAGCAGACTTCTTACAGGGACTTTGTATACGTCAGAATAGGCTACCGACCTAAAATGGCCAAGGCCAACACATTTTTTTACAAACATACCGCCTAGCGTAATCCATGGCGCTGATTCACATGCCAAAATCAAAACAATGGTGGTAGGGTTTTAGATCACCATGACCTAAAAAACTAGGGCCATGACCTTAACTGAAGTACCAGTAACCTTTAAGTTAAAGACAGAACCCTAGGTTCAAACCGCTGTATGTCTGGGGACACTTTGGACACCAATCTAGATTTTGGCCCTTGTTTGACCTTATTGATAAGCCTTATGTTCATGACCTAGGAACTCAAAATTTTGACATTAGCTAGCTCATAAACAGGTCATGCCCTCCCTGTGAGTGTATATTTCTAGGTCTCTTAGGTCTTTTAGATCCCAGCGGGTCAAATTGACCATCCCCCACCAGAGCGCAGGGCATTTAACCGGCCACCCGGGCGCGGTGTGAATAGACTGTGCATGCGCAAGAAGACCAAGCTCTGCAAGAGGTCACTGCTCTTTACGTCCTCTTGGCTATGTGCGCAGCATCTTACCATGAATTGGCTGTGTGCATGGACCGCAAGCGCCGCTGCAGCCTGCACGGTGAGAAACGGAGCAGTTAACGACCACTCATAAAACAACACCGCCGCAAGCCCCAAGTTCACTGAACCCTTTAATGACGGGGCGCCGGGGACTCGAGCTACCACGCCGCCACACTGACCCGCCCGCCGGGCGACGCCCCGTCCTCAAGGTGCAGCCCGACATGGAGGAGCTCACCGAGAACGCCGAGGACATTGCCGAGGAGGGAGAGAGCAAGCAGTCGGAGCAGAAACTCGGCCGGCTCCAGTTCAAGGTCAGTATCCGAAATCACCGTGAGTTATTCTGCGGCTGTGTGAGTTACATCAGGCGACAGTACTGAAACCGCAAAGTGCGCTTCGCAAAAACTGCGACACAGGTTTAGTAAAATGGCACACTTCTCCTGGCCCAAGACACACATACGCTCGCACATATATATATATATATATATATATATATATATATATATATATATATATATATGTGTATATATATATTTATTCATTTATTTATATATATATATATATATATACGGTGAACTTAAGCTAGTCGAACTATATGAGCTATATATTTTAGTCAGCGGTATGTGATTGAGACCGCGCTTAACATCATCAGTGTTGTGTGGATGGCTGAATCTTGGACAGTGGCGACACTGATGGGACTATCACATTCGTCAGTGGTGCGCAGCTGTCATCGTTTTTCCAAGGCGCAACACCGACATTCGTTACCGAGATCCCACAGTGTATTTCTGAAGTTGAACCTTGCAGTGTGGAATGCGCTTGAAGAGCACAATGTTTTTGGGCTGCATGTACCCGCGACACGCCTGGTGGTGTGGCGGCGTGGTATTGTGAATAGCAGTTGCGAGCTACGTTTCTGCCTACATTCGTCCCACATCTCAGTGCATAGTGATGTTTTTTGTCTACCCCGGCAGCTGGAATACGACTTTAACTCCAACAACCTGACGGTAACAGTGATCCAGTGCGAGGAGTTGCCGGCCCTGGATATGGGGGGCACCTCCGACCCTTACGTCAAAGTCTACCTCCTGCCCGACAAGAAGAAGAAGTTCGAGACCAAGGTCCACAGGAAGACACTGAATCCAGTTTTCAACGAGACGTTTACTTTCAAGGTACAGCCTCCAATTTTTAATGTGCCTTGTTGATCATGGCTGGGACGGAAGGGAACTATGATAAGTAATTTATACAGGCCGATATTTATTAAGAAAGAAACGGGGATTTGCTGACATAAATAAGAATACAAGCAAATCATGCAATGGATTGTCAGAATAACTTAGAATTATTCATTCTTAGTTGATTTCTAGGTTTGCTATATTGCTGCTCATGACGTATGCATTGCGTCCAAGTGGCTTCGATTTCGTTACGGTTTAACAGTTAATGACTTATATTTATTGTGATAATGTCGTAGTGTAAAGAGTATATCGGCACTAAGCTAGAGCACTAAGCTACATGTGCGAAATAAACGACGCTTACCAGTGAGGACCATATGATTTGCGAGCACTGTTGCTAACTACACAGCATTTCCCTTTTCCGAAAGTTCACCTCTTTTGTGTGGTTTCACCGTATCATACGCTGGTACTCCCTACTCCCTACCGAAGTGCTTTAAAATGCCTGTGATTTGATAAAAGAACACACGAACAGAATCTTCATGGGGAATAATGTCACTAGTCCAAATTGGTGGTGCCTAAAGGCTTAGGAGCGGTGGATTTCCGAAGGTTCCGTGGTCGTCCACGCATCCTGAGCCGTGTTTCATCCGTGCCAATCACCCACCATGCTATGATGTGCAGCTTCGTAACGATGGTTTGGTTGTTCTTTCATCGTGAGCAGAACGTAAGTGTTTTCCTTCTTGCATCCGTTATGGTTTTCACATTTCTGGAATGGTCTGACGCGCTGGGACGCCGTGACGTTGGCTGAGGGCGGTTTGGTTCGAAGAGATTGGCCAACGTTGGCGGCGGCTTGGGTTGGACTGCTTTTGCTATAGCTTTGGCGATGAGAGATAGTTGATACTGCAGCTCTGCTGATGGCTTGCAGCTTTGGAACTTGCACACTCACTCGTGTCTGCCTAGACCTACACAACACTGTTCATAAAACATGTCATGCACCCGGCGCAACAGGCATACTGAATTAAGAATGTAACTGCTTGTTGCCATTCCTTGAGCTTGTACACCACACACACACACACACACACACACACACACACCACACACACACACACACCACACACACACACACACACACACACACACACACCACACACACACACACACACACACACACACACCCACACACACACACACACCACACACACACACACACACACACACACACACACACACACCACACACACACACACACACACCACACACACACCCACACCACACACAACCCACACACACACACATATATATATATATATATATATATATATATATATATATATAATATTATATAGCGCAGGTTGGTACTTAATTGCTATTGCTCGGATACGTATATGATGAGGGCCTAAGCTTGAATGGCAAACTTCATCTTACAGTTGTGTACCAACACGTGTCACCTTCTATAGATAGCATTCAATGCACACCGCGCATGATGTCTGGCACCTCCAAACTCCAATGCACACGCCCGCACACTCTATAGTCGGAATGTAATGTAGGCGCTCATAGAAACCGTCCTTCAATTTGGCACAATGTGGCCCTCAGACTAGGACGCTGCTCTGTTCCCCGCCAGCATGCTTGGCTTCGGCATTCCGGCGTCGAGTTACTAGCAAAGTCGGCCCGTGAGCTCCCTAAATTATCCTCGACCCACTTCAGCTAACATCCTAGGTTGTATCCGTTGCCCTGTAGCAGTTTCTCTTTTGTGGCTACTCGACGAAGTCGTCAAGGTGCTGGGCTCAAGTGATATTGTTACCCTGCCCATAAATAGCCCTTCTTCGGCACACTTTGGCGCCACCTGACTCTATCTCAGGTGAAATAAGCATGTGCGTGCAGTGGATAGCTAGGGGCTCGGGCTGGGCGGGTCCACCAAGCATCATACATCGCCGGCGGTAAGTATAGCCCGCACGGGTGCACCGGGCGGGCTGGAGACAAAACGTGTCATCGCTCCCACCACGCAGCTGCGCTGCGGTTCATACTGCAGCGCACCTTTGCCAAAATTGCGCTACGGTTCGCTGAGCGGGTGTCAAACGACATCCTTAACTGGCGCTGACGCCACGCTTCGCTAATTCAGTTCTCTTACGGGCGTAATGTCGCACTGAAAGAGAGTCAACCGCCAGCTCGCGTCGCCTGAGAACCTTCCGTTAAGCGCGTGTAAAAGCCAGCTTCGGCGCCACACCGTGAAGCCGGCTACCGCCGGCGCCGCTGCCGCCGCCGCTGCTGACGCCCCGCGCCCGCCAGGTCCCGTACGCCGACGCCATGGGCAAGACTCTCGTGTTCGCCATCTACGACTTCGACCGCTTCTCCAAGCACGACCAGATCGGCGAGGTCAAGCTGCCGCTCTGTACCATCGATCTGGCGCAGACGATCGAGGAGTGGCGCGAGCTGGTCAGCGTCGAGGGCGACGGCGGCCAGGTCAGTCGAGGGCGGGGCACCGACGGCTGCCGACGGTCCGCCGGAGCCTCGGTCCGCCGGCGTCGGGCGGACGGCTGGGCTCGCTCGCCCACTGGGGTGGTGGAAGGCCACGTAGACCCTAGAGTTCCTCTGTGTTAGCCGGGAGCAGAGTGCTTTTCGGTTTGATCCACCCGCTGAGCGCCTCTGCTAGTAGAGCACTGCCCTGCCATGAACGCTCTGTTGCCCTTAGGTCACCACCGCCTTGTTGACCCTGCCTCTCGTCACGGCCGCGTCGCGAATGCTTGAACATAACGAGCGGCGGCCAACTGTGTAGCTCGTCTTCACCATGTCCGTGTCACCGGCCCCCACCCGGCCGGCGCACCCCTAACGGCCCTAGTACCCGGAATGTCGATGTCGTCGCTGCCCTGTCTCCGTGGCTGCCAACGGTGCCGTCTGTCGTCTCTTTCTCTCTCTCCGTCTGTCTTGGCTAACGCCCTTTCGTCTGCGTCCACCCGTGCGCACCGCCACCCCGCTCGGACCCTGTAGGCAGTAAGTCCGCTTCTTTCTCACGTTTGTTCTCTTGCTCACCGAGTCCCGAGACTGCTGGACTGCTCCCGATCTCTCAGGCAATTGGCTGGAAACCACAGGCTGAAACGCATTCAGGGCCCACGTTCCCGGTATAAAAGTGATTTTTGTAACATTTGATGGCCAGTAGAAGCTGGCGGACGAAAACTACCATGTGCCGGAAAATAGTACCTTTTAGTGTTTTATGAATGTAATCTGTACGCATAAAAAGCATCACGTGCCGCAGATTTTGTCTGTGCTATTGTCAGATTGGCAATGGGAACAGACGAGCATTAACGGCACCGCGTAACGGTCGAATCTATATTTTTGTCGCTGTGACTGTCAATCCGTTCGAAGGATGAACCTCAAAACCGTGCAGACGGTACTCATGCCCCGTCATAGCTTTGAACTGTGCGAATAGATTTTGAAGACAGTCGTTCTTGCCCATCCGGCGCCCGTCACCTGGTGTTGGCTGAGGCCGCCAACGTTACTCGGTTCGTCGAAAACTACAACACCGTGTATCGGTGTTTGTGCTTCAAAGATTGCGAGCGCGCGTGCTTAAATCTGTTTGGAATCCGCTTCTAACTAGTCTATTCCAGCACGGATGGATGTGCTCGTGCAAACACGTGTTGGCCATGGCAATAATTTTGCTTACCCCGTTTTGATCCCGCCTAAACAAGACTACTTTTAGTAGTATAGACCGCTGATTTTTTCCCGGGCAGAGGGCCCTGCGTGTAGAATACTTGATGGCACATCGCCGTTTCCGGTCAGAGGCTGATAGGCCCTTCGGTCCCGGCCGGGGGTACATACTGGATGCACTTCTGGCACTACAGGGGCCACGGCACTCGGTTGATCATTAGACCCTCAGAGGAATGCATTATGCATATGTTGCCTCGCTGACCTGGCAGGCCTTCTGAACGACGCAGCTGGACTAGTATCGACTCAGAAACTCCTACTGGCGTTAAAATAGATACCCCTTTAGGACGTGAGGGCCCAGCAATTAACAGATGCTCTCCAATTCTTGTCGGGTCGCTAGCCACAATGGAGAGGAGGGGGGGGGGGGGGGCCTTGATCGTCGGTCCCGGTGTCTGAGGTTAGAGAACAGAGTTCAGAGGTCAGAGGCTAGAGGTCAGAGTTCGAAGGTCAGATAGTGTAGTACCTAGAGGCCTATGGAACCATTCCGAAAGCAAGACGATTAGTTTTGCCATGGATCTAGCTGGAGGCACTGGATTTTGAACCATTAGAATAATCCCTTCATTTATGATGTTTCCATTTCAGCTGACTCATAAACAGTTTCATTCAAAATGATTGACTTAGGTCTGAGTGTCAGCCTGCCTCAAATTTTCAAAGCAATCGATTTCAACTGACTCAACGTAAACTTCCTTCATTCCGAAGTCGATTCTAAGTATGCCTGTGAATCAAGCACAAATCTGCATGGGACGTGGCACATCCTCCTCCCCCTGGACACGTCCGGCAGTCTCGGGATTAAACAACGTATACTTTGTGCATCAGCTAAAGTCGTACTGCATGCCACAGAGCTCGTTACCATTACTGCATTGCTCAACTCATCATCTCTGAGAAGTTGGTGTTAGTCGGAGCAACTCACCAGCATTGTACAACGGTACACCACTGCTGCCACGCTGATGTCCGCCCTTTCTGTTGGCCTGACTGACCTGTCTTGGTTCGCCCCCCGCCCTGGGCGCCCGTTTCGCCGTGTCTGTCGTCGCCTCCGACCGCCGCCTCCTCCTGTGAGTATCTCTCCCGCTGCCAGCGTACTCGGGGCGGGGCGGAGCGCAGTGACCGTGTCTAGATGCAGGGTATCGAGTTCAGGAGTAGAGGCTGCCAGAGCGTCGCCGCTAGGCTTCCGCCTGAGGTCAGTAGTGACGACGCTGGCGACGTGTATGCGTGTAGGGTGTGTGCCGTTGGCCGAGTACTTTAGTGCGATGTGATTTAGGGCAAATGTAGATTCAGAGTTCAGAGGCTTCTGGGAGTACGGCTTGTGATCCTCTGGACAATGCTCGGTCAGATGCAATCGCTGATGTGCATTCTTCTGTCCGAAGCGGCTTCAAAATTTCGCATCGCAACGATTCACTACCGCTGGCTGTCAACAAACAATAAGCATGCTTTCGACACCGATGCACTTCAGCGATTGGTCTCACGAGAAGATTTTGTTAGGCAGAACGACTAAAGTTATATCTATCGACTGCAAAAGTATTAGTGTTGATAGGTATCTGGTCCGCATATTTAGTACGCAACATACGTCAGTAGAAGCATTAGACGCAGGTGAACTTAATTCACAAACCGGTGTTGAGACGTGAGAATAGCTTAGATGTCGGTGTTGTTTGGTGCACTTTGATGTATATCTTAGCGGAAAAATGGGTTATACTGTTGTCCATTCGACGCGGCCAGCATTTCAACTCGCACGATGGTGTTGAGATCATGAACGTTGCTGGAAATGTTGGGCAATTCTATGAGATATTTTGATAATTGCTCCGATATGTGATGTTATTCAGTTCTTCTTGGTATACTGATGGTCTGATTATTATCGACACACGAACTCTTAAAACCCGTTTCATCAGACCGGGTGCGAAATAGGAACCACCCTCCCATTACCCTACGTAAAGGATAGGACAGGGCCAGTGAAAGTCCTCCCAAATTGGTGGCACCAATTTTTTGTTATTTCTTTCCAGTTGACGTTTGTTGACCAAGGTTAAATTCTCGGAAAGTCGAGGTGACTCCATCGCCACTGGCCTTAATTGCCGCACTCTTTGATGGAGAGCGCCACTCCATCATCTCGGCTGAGGGAAGAGGTTCCTTTTTACCAATCCGAAGGAGGGATGATGGGCGGCCGTCTGGTCAGACCGGGTGAGGGATGGTAAAGGACCGTCTGGTCAAACCGGATGAGGGATGATGGGGGACCGTCTGGTCAGACCGGGTGAGGTGCGATGAGGGACCGTCTGGTCACACCGCGTGAGGGATTAGGAGGGCCCTAATCCCTGGTCAGATTGGGTGATGTATGATTAGGAACCGTCTGATCAGACCGGGTGAGGGATGGTGACCGACCGTCTGGTCAAACCGGATGAGGGATGATGGGGGACCGTCTGGCCAGACCGGCTGAGGAGTGGTGAGGAACCGTCTGATCAGACCGAGTGAGGGAATAGGAGGGCCCTAATCCCTGGTCAGACCGCGTGAGGGATTAGGAGGGCCCGTCTGATCAGACCGGGTGAGGACTTAGGAGCGCCCGTCGGGGCTCGGCGCCACCCTGACCGCTGGTGACTGGCGTGACGTCACCGATCGATGGGCAGATGGGTTGCCCGAGGAGGCTCACTGACAACTCCCCACCCCGGCTCAGACCGCGTGTGAGCATCCCTTTACCAGGCTTTGGTTAGGGATATGGTAAAAAGCCTACCCTCAGACTTGTTAGAGCTACATGGTGGCCTGTAACCTTAGGGCGATATAAGAAACGCGCCCCATTCTCAGCCGGGTGTGACGTTTTGAATGCCCCTGAAGTTATATCACATCTTCGGAAACATCGATCATTTCTGAACAAACCGTAATAGCCTTAGCACGGATATTGCGACTGATCACAAATGTCGCGAAATAGGTACTTTATGGGTCACAACCAAAGACGTTTAACAAAGGTCATTTAAGATGAGAGCTCACCAGATTCTTAGCGCTGGTCAAGACTGCTGCAAGCAGTGTCTGGGTGGGTGCGTGGGAAGGTCGATGGAATTTGTAAAACAAATTTTCGGAGTGAAAATGAGAATTGGGCGTCTCTTCTTTGGTTGTAGCGCCATTCATTCCGTGAAAACTTCCGAAATGTTGCGATGCAGATGCATCTCCAAGTAACACTGCAGCTTCACCCTCGGGCTGGGGAAGGGGGGGGGGGGGGGTAGCCGGCATGCGTTCTGTAATGAAAGCCCTGGGGTTCCCATTGTAGCCACAGCAGCTTCCTTAGCCTCCTCCATGAAATGAAACGTGTCCGCAGCTTTCATAGCCTCCTGAGAAGTGAGTGCAGCTTGAAAATTGCATTGCAGCTGTCGGTTTGCCCTCCCGGCGGTGTAGCAGGTTCTCCCGGTGGTGTGGCAGGTTCTCCAAGCAATGCGCCAGGTTCTCTCGGCGGTGTGGCGGGTTCTCCCGGCGGTGTGGCATATTCTCCCGGCGGTGTGGCAGGTTCTCCCGGTGATGTGGCAGGTTCTCCAAGCAATGTGGCAGGTTCTCCGGCGGTGTGGCGGGTTCTCCCGGCGGTGTGGCGGGTTCTCCCGGCGGTGTGGCGGGTTCTCCCGGTGGTATGGCGGGTTCTCCCGGCGGTGTGGCAGCCGTCTGCCACGTGGCGCCGGCCGTCGTCGGAAGCTGCCCCTCCCCCCCCCCCCCTCGCCTGACGGTGAGCTGCAGACCGCCGCCTCGTCGCTGAATCGGGCCAACGATATGCCACGGACAGTGCAGGGTTCGGCCGCTGTGGCCACCTCTACCGTGGTCCCGGGGGTATTTGGGCACGGATTAAAATAACGAGGTCAGAACCCGTGTGACGTCTTTTATCACCAGAGTGATCGATGTTTCGTAAGGCCGTCGGACTCGGTCGCATTTAATTGAAATATGCATGCGATGAGAATGATTCTCTGCCGTGGCGAGGTAGGTGATGTGGATGTGACAGGAGTGGATGTGGTGGGGTTGATTTCGTTGGTGGGATGGATGGTGGGCAACTGGGACTGGCACTGGGATAAGATATTTTGTTTACTGTATACTGGGGAAAGAGTAGAGGAAATTCGGCCGTATGGCAAAAACAAACAATGGTACTTGACGCGCAAGCGTTCGTTGCCACGACAATCGGTTATCGCTTAAGTTCTGGGTTGTTGAGGTCCAGCAGTGTGACGCACGAGACTGTTGTACACGCATACACCTCCAGTAAAGATACGCTGAGACCCGGGCATAGCCGTTCAAAGCTCTCATGCTATGCCAGCGACTGGGAGGTGAGGGGTTGGGGGTGGGGGCGAATACTCCATTGCTTCTGAATGGCGTCGTTTTCATCGTATGTGTTACGTCGGATGTGCTCCAGAGAGCCGTCAGAAACAGACGACTAGTCCAGCCCAGTGTCTGCGCTGCCGACTCCGATCGGCAACGACGACACACTCGGTGTTGGCTGGCCTCCGTCGCCAGCAGCCCCTTGACGACTGAAACGTTTATCCTATAGGAAAACAAGCTGGGAGACATCTGTTTCTCGCTGCGGTATGTCCCGACGGCCGGCAAGCTGACAGTGGTCATCCTCGAAGCCAAGAACCTGAAGAAGATGGACGTGGGTGGCCTATCGGGTGAGCACAGGAAGTGCGCCTTCGTTAGCTGTAGGCGACGCGCTTTGAATAATTGTCTTTTTCGTGCCCAGTGCAGCGAAACAACACGCATACAGATGCAGTTTTTTGGTGCCCCTTAGCTGCCGTTGTGGATGAGGCTTTCTTTTTGTGACTGCAAATCTTGGGTTACGATTTGTTATTTTTGCACTTGAGCTCACAGGTTTCAGACGTGGCCAGCTACAAGTAACGAACCCCAGAGTGACTAGGGATCTTATAATGGGCTAGGAAGCCTTCTACTTGGCATTGTCTATTGTCGTGCAGGCCGTGTGAGCACGACACACAAGCCCGCGACGAGGCTACTCGTTTCTGTGTTTCTTTCACTTTTTCGCTTTTCACTCTTACAATTTTCTTTACTTTCACAAGAGCGTTAGGAAAAATATAAAATTGACAAAGATCATGATTGGCGTGCGACAATGACGGGCTGCCCATGATACCTGAAAAACTAATCGGTCACATTTGAGTCACTGGATGCTGCTGCAAGACGTCAACATCGTCTTGTTTTTGGGCGCAGTTCCCCATAGTGTGATGTCATTGAGTTTTAAACGCAGACGGAAAAGGAATTTTTCGCGCTGTTATGGGATATCACGCTGGCATGTTCTCCGATTCTTCATTTTCAGATCCGTATGTAAAACTAGAACTTCTTCTTGGCAACAGGAAGCCCTAAAAAGAAGAAAACGTCCGTGAAGAGAAAGACGCTTAACCCTTACTTTAACGAAAGGCTTACTTACGAAAACATCAGCCGGACCCAAATTGAGGTAGCCATTGACCTGGTTCAGGCCCATCGCATGGCGTCAGGGGCGGACAGGAATCATGATGGCCAGCCAGTGGTCGCGGGGCTTGCGGTGGATGCATCAGAGTGTTTGGGGTCTTGCCAACGAAACAGAACACTCTTGCCTGGATAAATAAAGGAGGGGCGTTACGCTGGAACCGTGTGCAGCCGTACCATGAAAATGTTGGCCCTTGACTGGGAGGCACATGGTACCTAAGGTCTACAGTGTAAGGACATGGTCAAATCCAACGGCATATAAGCGTACTGTGAGCGAATTTAGCACTCCAGACCGGTACAACGCCGCGTCCGTTTGGTGGCCACGCTATGTTTTGCAGTAAAGACGGCTAACTCCCAAGCTGAAGGCTCTGCCGTTTAGAACGAAAGATGCAGAAAATATCTGGTGACTAGGCGGCGCGTGATTCACTGCACGGAACCGCCTCACCCATGGAAGCATGGTGAAAAACCCTGCAAGCAGAACCTTGCTGTACACACATTCAGGCCATCATCCAATCGCATCGCGCGCTCACTTTAATCGAAAATGCGCTTTCCGACCGTTTTGGCCGGGTCCGGGAACGAAGCGATCGCACGGGCACCGTGCAAAGTTATACGGCACGGGTGCCGGCATATGCAAGCTCGGCTTAGCGCGAAAATATTTTTGGGGCCAAGCGACCGAGTGCTCTAGCTTCATTTCACCACAAGCTATCTTTATCACCAGCTGATGGCCGTGAGATCAGTGGTTATGTTTGCTGGTTCGCTTATTAGTGCAATAAGCATTTTTCAGACGTGGTAAAACATCGATGTCGTCATTATGCGTGTCCTCGTAGTACTCAAATATGGAATGACGCTCAGCCATTCAGCGTGCCAGTGCATGAATGACAATGTCAATAGCTGTCATGTCGACACCAATGTCAATAGCTGCCATGTCGACACCAATGTCAGTAGCCTGCCGTGTCGACACCAATGTCAATAGCTGCCATGTCGACACCAGTGCCAATAGCTGCCATGTCGACACCAATGTCAATAGCTGCCATGTCGACACCAATGTCAGTCAACGTTGACAACAGTCACACGCACGCGCGCGCGTACACACACACGCACACACGCGCACACACACACACACACACACACACACACACACACACACACACACACACACACACACACACACACACACACACACACACACACACACACACACACACACACACACACACACACACACACACACACACACGTTTTGTCATCAAAGAGTGATGTGTACGTCTTCTGAGTTTGGCTATGTTGGATGAGTTGGGATGGTTCTTTTTAATTTTGTGCGGGTGCAGGGGGCAGACATGCCGTCGGAAACATCACGGCCTGCCAACCAGCATGCTGCTTGGGTGTCCTAAAAGGTCCCGAGCCCTACTCGGGCTACTTTGTTTGACATCCACCTGAGGGGGAGTGGGCATGCATTGCGCGTGGTCTGGAGCGTGGGTGTTCCAGGAGAATGCTGATGCGCGTGACGTGGCGGGTGGAATTTCAGATCCATACGTGAAGATAGCTTTAATGCAGAACGGTAAACGCCTGAAGAAAAAGAAGACCAGCATCAAGAAGTGCACCCTGAACCCCTACTATAATGAGTCGTTCACGTTCGAGGTTCCATTCGAGCAGATCCAGGTAAGACATGAAGATCACTGACCTGATAAATTATGGTCAGGATGAGTGTGGAGCCTGGCATGTGACCTGCCTTCCTTGTCATACGCCACGCGTCTCGCAGAAACGGAATCCGAATTTTCCAAATCGCCTTTGTGCTATGTCCTGCACAGTGACGGCAATTCTAGGGCCTAAACCGTTTGACTCCACGCCATTATATTGTATTTCAGTAGGGTGATATCAGCGGTTCAGGCACAATTCCTGATTACAGAGACACTCGACATGCCTTTGTAACGCTGGTTGGCCCGTGTCACGTACCCAAATTCGTGGAATAGGTCGCCAGTCAAACATTACGATAATCCTTGTTTTCACGGAAACATATTCTGAAGGTTCGCAACATATTTGGTACGCAGTGCTTTGTACGCTTTCAACACGCACTTCATGCTACAGACCTATCATCTGAGGTGTGTTTCGCCATCTGTGGTCTTTTCGCCTCACGCTTTGGCAGCATGCGAGGCCGAACGCTATCTGGAGGGAACCTCTCATTTCGGCTGATGCTCCTTTTCTTCCTTAGAGCAGCCTAGATTTTGTTCAGCGCCTTAATGCATCGGAACAAGTATAATGTTACTCGGTGTTATTTTGCACCACGCGGACATAAAAGCGGAGAGGAGCCTCTTGCTGGGATGGCATTAATGAACTGTCTGCAGCCAACCACTACATCGCTGCTCCCGGTCATAACCACTTGCGAAAAAGCAACCGTTCGGAATAAGGTGACATTCTGGTCAAGTTCAGCAGGTAACAACTTTTCTCTTGCAGTAAATGCGATTTGCTCCGTTTTGATATCCGACACGTGAAACTCATTTGCGCTCATGTCTTTCCACATCACTTGCGCTCATGTCGAGCGCGCATATCAAGCAATCCGAATCGTGCTGAATAGGGCCAGCGACTTGGACAGCGACAGCGATCGAGGTGTAACGTCAGGCACACTGTGCCGTGGCCGTCCTTTTTCCGCCACGTCCATCCAGTATCCGCCACCGTTGGCTGCGGGGCGGGCCTGCAGCCACCTGCAAAGGTCACTTGGGTGGTAAACGCGTGTTTGATATTCTCAGAGACGAGCGTGGCGAATGACAGGTTAGCAACAAACTGGCATAACAATTATAAATGCAATGTGGTTTCGATCAGCCTTTGCATACGTTCGCTGCAGGGGTGGCGGGTGCGATGGGGGAGGGGAGGGGGTCAGTGACGGTTCGGCGCCGCGTGTGACGCTGTTGCCGCCTGCCGAGCAGAAGGTGCAGCTGGTGGTGACCGTGGTCGACTACGACCGGATCGGCACGTCCGAGCCGATAGGCAAATGTGTGCTGGGCTGCACGGCGTCGGGCACCGAGCTGCGCCACTGGTCCGACATGCTGGCCTCGCCGCGCCGGCCCATCGCCCAGTGGCACACCCTCAAGGACCCCGAGGACGGTGACAAGAAGGACTAAGGTACGCCGCCGACAGCCGGGCGGACCGTGCTACGCCGCTGGCGCAGCGCGACCGCTGGTGGGGGACGGCCAGCCGGGCGCGTCGCTGTCGGCTTGTGCTGGAAGAGTTTCAGTGCCGTCAGCTGGCGGCGTCGGTCGGCGAACACCAGCCCGCAGGCGCGCGGTCGGGGCCAGTGATCGCGTGCCGTCACAGAGACACGACTGTGTGCCTGTCCATTGTGTTCCGTCCGGTGCGTTGTTCACAAGCCCGATGGCGAACTCCACAAAAAGATGCAGTTTCAAGGGAAAAAAACGTCAAAAACGCGAGGCCTGTTTGCGAGGAGCAGCAGTTAGTCAACTGACAAGTGACTCACCAGTACCCCGCAATTAGTGGCCACATCCATTGCTGCAGGTCAATGGTGACTGGCCCGTGATGACGACCGGCCTTCGCCCGCAGGAGTGTTCCAGAAGCCCGCAGTGGCCGGCGCGCGCCGTCGCGTCTCGGAAGGCAAAGTTGGCGCGGCGGCGGCGCGCCAGTGCGCGTGCCGACCAGCCGTGGCCGGCGCGCGCCACGAAGCGGACGTGCTCGGGCCACTACTCACCTCTGCCCGTGACCAGATAGCTCTATGTTGGCGCTGCGGCGCTGGGTGGGAGCGCGCGTCGGCACCGGCGGCGGTGCCGCAGCGACCGCCTGGCCGGTGCAGTGTAGTCGATGTCTGTGTGCGGCGGAGGCCGGGGGCGCTGCCGCCCGCCGCGTCGGCCGGTTTGGTCCCGTGGTGTCCGCATCTAGACGCAATCAGTTCGCAGATAGCCGTGCCAAAGCCGCGGCGCGCGGGCGGGACGTGAGCGCCACCGAGCCGGGGGGCGCGAGCGCAGGTGTTTGTAACGGTCTGGTGAGCGGATTCGATGTTGTACCCCCGCGGCGAGCCCGGTCCGCCGCCGGCACCTCGCCACGCGCGCCCTCTGTCTCTGCCCTTCACTCCGGCCCTCTCCGCTCGCTCGTCCCTTGTCTGTCCAGTTGACTGGCGTTCACGGCCGCTCCCATATCACGGGCGCCACCGCGCCGGGAGCGCAGGGCCCGGTGGCGCTCACACCAGGGGCAGGCTTCGGGGTCGGCGGCCTCACTCCTCTACCAAACGGACCACCTGTTGAGTGGGTATTCCGGGAGCAGGTTCGCAAGCTGATTCCTTTTCGTGGGCCGAGTTGGGTCCTGAAGGGGATGGCGGACACTGCAAGCGTAAGGCTAGACGTCACTGTGCGGTGCCGGCAGCTGGAGCGCCACCCAAAGCCTGTCCTCGGTGTGTAGCGTATTGCAGGAGTAATCACTCCATGTGAGTCAGCTATTGCCGTTTTCTATTATGTGAAGGCCTTTTAAAGAGTCTACCGTTCATGTTACTGCTTGGTGGTAAAGTTACGGCGTGGTTAGAGTCGTGTGGAAATCTGTTCGTTCACGCACTCCTTTGTTTAGTTATTTGTTAGGTATATATATATCATTCCACTAACCCTGCTGTAAATATACCTTAGCGCGCATGCATATACATGAATATATATACAACTTTTTGTCAGGTGAGATACTAATCACTACCTAGATACACTGTAAGTAATGTGCAAAATAAAGTGAGACGTTACGAATGCACGATCTATTTACCTGACCCCTGACTATCGGTCGCAGCAAGCGATGAAGCACAACCGGCTGTTTGCTGCACTAAGCTGTTTGCGAGTTGCACATGTTTGAGACCTATACCTTGCACACTTAAAAACGTCACCGGCCGACGAGTCGAAAAGGCAAACTTCAAATCAGGAAGATGCATTTTTCGGAACGTGTGGAGCGATGTGATAGCAGACCTGATTGTCATCACCATCCAAACGACACACAAACATGCGGAAATGGGGCCAGCCGCCTTTGGGAGCCCACATCGATTAAACGTATGCATTCAAATGAGTCTGGCAGGCGGATAGGCGGATGTGCACGGGTTGTCTCGCGCCCGCGCGCAAATTCATGATCAGTCTTGTTGAAATCATACACGTCTACACCACTAATGTACACTAGATAGTGGTACTCGATGCCTAGGGCAACAATATTTGCCCTGGTTTGGGCCCCTCAAGGACGGATAATTTTAATGGACAAGGTAATTAAATGGGTTTGGAAAAGATTGCACCTAAGTGATTAGTAAAATAGGTTCGAAATAGAGCAACATTTTTGAGTGACCATTGGTTGCAATAAGCTGGACTATGCAACGATGCAGCCTGCATGGCCCGGTCTGTCTCATCTTAGGTCACAACATTCTGCACGCATTCCATATCGGCTTCGAAAAGCTTGTCAGCTAACCTGTGAAAGCGTGAAACGACAGTGATGGCAGTTTGCGGCATGTCGCGTGCAATGTGAACTGTTAGATCTTGTTTTCCTATTCTAAAAAGTATATATGATACAAATGACTTTAAAATGACATGACTGAAACATTTCCTTTAAAAATTTGCGTTACTTTTCCCAATTTATTTAGAATTGTCATGAGCTACTATTTTCAGTCAAGAGCGGAGGCGGAACGTCTGAGTGGGTGGGGCCAGCCCAGGCTTTTGAGGAAATTAAAAAATATATCTTGATTTCTTCAAAGCATAATCAGATTTGGTTCTCCGTCACCTCAAAGAGCGCACTGAAACAAATACTTTCCCGGTCACAACTGCGTAGGGCTTCCATTGAGGAAACATGTACTTTTTTGCTCCCTTATAAACGTTCCAGTTATGTGAAGGAGAAGGGGCAGGGGCGCGGCAACGGGAAGCACAGTGGCACGTGCCGCTCCCCTCCCCCTAGGTCACCAGAGGTCCGTTGGGTCCCTTGGCAGCGACGATCGAAAGGCTAATTTGAGGGTGTGAAGGGTCCGAAAGGCTGGTGAGAGGTCGTTACGGGACCCCGACCCGGAGGACCGGGACCTGAAGTAACAATCAGGAAACCTTTGCACCGATCGAGGTCCGTGGTGTCATGAGGGCCTATATATCGGACACAGACTACCAATGTCGAACAGCCGGGTCTGTGTCGGTCTGGACCCAGGTGGCATATTTTCCACGTGGGGAAAAGACCGGGGGCCCTCCGTTGTCACTGACAGCCTCTGACATTGCTTGGAGTCGCTGAAGCAGTGAGCGAGCCCTGAAGCAATGCGGGCCCCTGCTTCGGTCAGGGGCCCGCAGTATCTAACGGGCGATGTGGTGTCGGCAAGAGGACTACGAGTCGGCCAGAGGCACATTTGTTGAACACAAACAGGGACGGGGCCCCGGATGGCAGAGGGCCTCTTGCGTTGGTCGGTGCCTTTTGGCAAGAAAAGGAGCATAGACAACTGACTGAACAGGTCCACGATAGGACAACGGATGGACCCTTTGTCAGTCAGGGTCTCAATACTCAATCCCCTCTCCAGCCCGTTCCGCCGGTGCCTAAAAGCCAAACTGGGGCGCCTGCACGAATTATTGAATTCTCTACGCCGGTAAAGGACCCTTTTGGGTCTTTGAGAGCCCTCGGTAGATCCGTGGCCATATGCACCGGTCAGAAGACCCTCGCGTCGGGGATGGGGCCGGAGTGTGATGTACCCCACAGACTGTTTACCGGTCAGCCAGGAAGCCCGGTCACCACGTCGTCAAAACGTTGGCGCTGTGTATATCGATCTGTAACGTGGGGGCCCTCTCGTTATGGGCCCACACACGGGTCCGCTGTTCAGGACAAGTCAGCGGTCTCTGTGGTATTCTATGTGCCTGAGGGATGGAAACAGAGTCAAAACTTGCAATTGTTTTGTTGTTCTTGTCAAAACTTGGTATTGTATTGTTCCAACACATTTTTCAGCATCAATTAGTGAAACATAATATGAAATGGTTTCGGTCAAGTGCGCTCACAATCTTCAGGAGGAAAGACCCTGATGCCCATCAATGCAGTTTTAATCAAACTGCAAGACGTTGGCCAGCCACAGCCAACACCAGGCCGTGGGTGGCGGGAGCGTGAGAGCGACCTTGTTTTGGGCAATGACGCACCCGACGGTCTTTTAAAATCAAAGCACATGGTTCAAAGGTTAGATTGGAATATTTGCGTCACCTGCGCAATTTTAAGATGAATCCTCTGAACGAATTGGCAATTATTTAAACGAACCGAAAACCATACATCTTACCATCGCATTAAGAGTTCGTGGTGCTGTTGATTATAATCCCTTCAAGAAACAATCTTGAAATTGCGCAGGTGTAATATTCGGCTCGGATTACCTGGGGGATTATCGCAGCACCTAATGTTCGTAACCCCTAATGTATCACAACACCTAATGTTCGAAACACCCAATATATCACAAGGCCTAATGTGCATAACCTCTAATATGTCATAACCCCTAATGTATCATAACCCCTAATGTTCGTAACTCCTAACGTATCACAAGGCCTAATGTTTATAACCTCTGATATGTAACCCCTAATGCATCGCTACACCTAACGTATCATTAGGCCTATTGTGTCAAATCAACTAATGTTCCACAACTCCTAATGTATTGCAACTCCTAATATATCACACCGCCTAATGTATCGGAACGCCTAGTGTATCATAACCACTTGTGTTTCATAGCGCCTAACGTATCATAACGCATAATGTTCGCAACCTCTAAAATATCCCAACTCCTAATGTATCATAACACCTAATGTGTCAAAGCACCTAGTGTATCATAACCCCTAACGTATCGTAACCCCTAATATCAGCTGACGACGCTGGCGAGGGCTGACGATTTTCAACCCTTTCGACCGCATTTGAACTTCCACTGAAGTCTACCAGATTATGCGGGCATTTGTGGCGCATACAGTACTGGAAGGCGAGGCAAGCTGGGCGGTGTCCGAAAACCCATTCTTGATTCTTGTCATAATCATTTTTGTGCTTTCCAGGCTGATGGGCTCTGAGAAGTGTAATGGGGTAATAGAATATCAGTATGGATTGATGAAAAATCCGTTCTCAGCGCCCATTGTTTGAGGCTCATAAGGAAAAGTAGAGGGTGACATGGAAGTGAGGTAGCTGGAAGGCAGGGAGCTGGTTAATCAGTATTTGAACCTGAGTCACGCTTGTCACAGTTCTTGCACGGATGAATGATCAGTATTTGAACCTCAGTCATGTTTGTCACAGTTCTTGCATGGCTGAAATCTGTTCTCAGCACTCCTTGTTTGAAGCTCATAAAGAGAAGTAGAGGGTGACACGAAAGTGAGACAGCTTGAAGACGAAAATGGCTAATCATTGTTTGAATCTGAGTTGAAGGCAGGGAAACGGTTAATTAGCATTTGAACCTGAGTCACGCTTGTCACAGTTCTTGCATGGCTAAATGATCATTGGTGATGAATAATCTGAATCTCAGTCATGCTTGTCACAGTTCTTCCATGGCTGAATGGTGGGTGCTGGTGCATACAGTCTGCGCTTTTGGCATATGCCCAGTTTCGGTAACCTATTGCACTGAGCTTTTTTCTGACAACGCCCCCCCCCCCCCCCTCCCTCTCCCAGCCTCATGTTAACTTGAAATGGGAAGTCATTCCTCCCATGGAAACAATTATAAGTCATCAAAAAACTTTCTTTAAATTTTAACATCAAAGAAGCGAATTCATGTGGTCAAAATGTGTGGAAAAATCAGGTCTCGGGGGCATATCAGTTCGGCATTTCCGGGTGAACTTTCGGTCAATTTTCAAAAGTGACACCACTAGCATATAGCATGGCTAAAACTTACCAAGCTGGACAAAAAGCATGGAATGATAAGTGGGTCAGTATCAGAAGCCCTTATGTTTGTAATATCTAATGCATAATAATGTATCAAAACTGATAATGCTTCATAGCACCTCGTAGCATGGTGGGTGCTGGTGCAGTCTGTGCTGTCGGCCTAGGCCCGGTTTTAACGGTCCAGAATATGTTCGTTATGATAGTTTCCCGGCGGCACAACCTGTATCTTTTGTAGCCATTGCATGATCCACTTTTTGCATAGCGAGCCCTTTAGCATACCTATGTCGTTCTAATGAACTAAGGCATACAAACTTAATGTCAAGAAAATTTGCCGTGCGATCTTTTTCTAAGCGTACTTTTGACCTCAGCAGTTACTGACACAGGCGCCAGATGACACCCGAGGAGTGTTATCTCTGCTTGTGGACAAGGGCACGTAAAGAAAAGGCCGTGCGACAGTTATTTGCAAGTTACAGGTTTGCACGCGTCAAGTCCGTCAAGATAGGCTTCGTACGGTATCAGTTACGCAATGTGAAAAGAAACTTACGTAAAAGCCTTGCTCGGCAAAACAGAAGTCCGAAAAAGTTCAGCACGACACTGTATGCATCATAAACGTTTGTATGGATAAGTCCGTTTGTTTGTTTGCCAAGGGTGAAGCTTGTCTAAAAACTACTTGCGCTAAGGTTTTTTTGCAGATGTTTGATGTGGACACACGAACATTCGTCCTCAAACGTTTTCATCGACGAAGTCAGCTTCACATAAGTGCGCACACTAAGATTGAAATTCGGATGTCTAATGTGTGCATGATCACATTCAGGTCAGACAGTCACCAAGGATGCAGCGCGTCCGACAGCAATACTGACGCCGTCGCCTGGCAATGGGAGAAGTCCATTTTAACTTAAATTATTGCATCCTATGGTTGCATGTCA